ACCAACAAAAGATGTTCAATTTCTACAGAGAAAATTATAAAACATTATTGAGAGAAACGAAAAAAGAGGTAAATAGAGGCATATGCTATATTAACAGATTAGAAGATTCAATACTATAAAGATATCAATTTTCCCAAAATTAATTTACAGAGTCAATAAAACCAAAATCTCAGTTTTTTGTAAACTGACCAGCGGATTCTAAAATTTATATGGAAATTTAAAGGGCCAAGAAGAGATACGCAATCTTAAAGAAGATCAGAGTTGAAGGATTTACACAGCTGAGTTGCAGGGCTGATTATAAAGTTATAGTAACTAAGACAGCATACTACAAAGACAGACAAATGGCCAATGCAGTAGAATGGGATTCCACAAGCATATGAAGACTTGATCGATGATTAAGGGGTAAATGGAGAGTAGCCATCAAAAGACACTATTAAGAGAGTCAAAATGCACTTTACATTGTGGCATAAGATATTTGCAACACAACTAAAATGAAAAGACAAGCCACACTGTGGGGGAAGATACGAACAATATATCTAACTAGAAAAGGCCTCATATCCAGAATACATGAGGAACTCCTACAACCAGTAAGAAAAATACAGACAACCTAACAATGGAGAAAAGATTCAAAAGTCACTTCACAAGAGGTTATCTAAAAGGCTAATAAATATATAAGTGTAAAACCTCTTTAGTCATCCAGGGAATGAAAATTAAAATGATAATGAAACACTACTATATATCCCCACTTAGAATGGCTAAAATTTAGAACACTGATAATGCCTACTGTCGGTGAAGATGTGCAGTAATAATGATCCTCATATACTGCTAGGAGAAATGTTCTCCAAGTTGGAAAACTGTTTAGTAGAATCTAATATTGAACATACCCATATCCTATGACCCAGCAATTCTACTCCTAAGTAGATAAACAAAAAATCTTACATATACATATATAAAGACACTTAGAAGTTCAGAGCAGCGTTATTCATAACAATCAAAAAATAGAAACCACCAAAATTTTCATCAACAAAAGTACGAATAAATAAGATATGGTATTTTCAAATAATTGAATCCTATACAGAAATGAAAATGAGCAAAATACATCTACTGCAACAACAGGTTTGAATCTCACAACAAGCTAAACACAAAAAAAATACATA